TGATTAAAATTACTTACAAAACAACTGACGAACCCTTTCACTCCCATGATCCCTTTCACTCCCACGATCTCTTTCACTCCCACGATCCCTTTCACTCCCATGATCCCTTTTACTCCCATGATCCCTTTCACTCCCATGATCCCTTTCACTCCCGTGATCTCGTTAATAATTCTCCCCTCTGTCTGCCATACAATTCTTGTGATGTTGCTTTCGAGAATTTAGAATTGTATCAATTAATAATCCCCTGGTTGATATTTTCCTTCTTCTCATCACTTGTCTGCTTGATATTGTATTGATATTGTAAGGAGAAATTCTGTCTTGATCACTCATCAGAGTTAAAGGGCTAAAGCATGATATTAGATATACAAGAACACCTCTCAATTAATTTAAGTTTTCTAATGACTGCATAAGAGGCTGTTGCAAGTTTTCTTTAGCATCCACTGAGTGCAGTAAACGAAAGTCAAATAATGTAACCCAGAAAATTTTAACAATTAATTGAACAGTACTTCTATTTATTTTCCTAAACTCTTGATTTTTTTGCTTTGAAAAAATCTGATAGCTGCAATCTTGCCTGCATTCAAAATGCCACATCATCATTTACTTCTCTTTTGCAGGACTTTGGGTATGTACAAGTTACATCAACAGAGAATCTCAAAGCATATGTCTGTAATTCCCCTGAGGTAGCTGCAAGATCAAAAGAACCACTGTGGCAATGTACCGGAAGAGTTGTGGTAAGAGCTTGCAATACCTGTCTGGAACAGAGCATTGATCTTAAGCATTTGAATTGCTAATCAGCAGCCACCCATGTAGCGGCAAATGTCTCTTTTGTGAGTCTTTTTTTCCCCTTGAGTGCATGCTTTTTTCCTGACAGTATGGTACTGATAAGATGTCTCTACCAAGTACTGCTGCTAACAAGCCTGTGGTCCTACCCAAGATGGTGCAGGTTAGTGAGCAATTTCTCCAAGTTAACTCCATCAGGCCTCTATCTTGATAGGCCTATTGTGGAAGACACACTACCTTTAGTTTGCAGTCAGCACAATGGCTTGTATGTAGCTTGAAATGCATGGGTTCAAGCCCTTGTTGTATCATCGTGTTTTGTTCTTTGCCAAGATGCTTCTTCCTCATGCCGCTGCCTGGTCAGCTCAGGTTATAGAGCACTGGACTGCCATACTGGAGGTACAGGGTGCGAGGTTGTTGGAGGTTGTTCTGCAAAAGAAAAGCGGCAGGAAAACAGCGCCCCGAAGTAACAGAATAAGAAATCAACCATCGCAGACGATTTAAAGTTCGTTTTCGCGCCAAAACTTAGCGCATGCGCATACGTTGCTCAACCTTGTCAGGGTTTTCAATAATAGCCGGACACCAGCAGTCTACCGTTGACTTTAAGACCTCTTACCCCCGTCTGTTGAGCCTCCGAGCAGGCTCTGGTGTTTGGGTTTCGCCTTATGGCCCTTTTTGTGGCCAAAGCTGCTTATGGAAAAAGTTGATGAAGCCCCCGCAGACTTCAACTCCTCCACATGATTACATTCTCAAAATAACCATATGAAAGGTTTTATCATGAAAACATATTTATGACAGGCAACTCTTATTCCAATCCGTGTTGTTGGTCCAAAATAACAAATATTACAATTTTTATTGTCCATGTTTACACAGAAAGGAAAGAAACGGGAAGTATTTTTGGATTTACTGGAGAGGCTAACAGTATTGGTTGGTACAAATGTAAGTAATTCGTCATTAACCATGTCTAACATTAGCGCTTTACACCCAGTAAAATCAGTAACAATGCTTGAGAATCTCTATTCTTTGGGGTAAAGCAATATGCGAAAGTAATAAGTGATTGCAAAAGGGTTTTGTAAACCACCGTGGCTGAAGAAATTGATTTATCAAAGAAACTGCGGAGTTTTACAAGAATTTCCAGCCCCGAAGAAAGCCGTTACTGCACACGTGCAAAACAACATTAATAGTTCACATGTGTTTGATGTCACCAATCAGCTGCTGACACGTCACATGCCTTTCGCGCCTGTCAGGTAGATAAATAATCCAAGGTCGTTTTTGTACTTTTTTGTTAGCACAGGCCGACTGTGTTTATATAATAGACGAAGTATTACAAAGTCGCGTGCAGATTTAGAATTTCTCTTCTCTTCTCGTGTTCAACTCGATATCTCACTAGTTTGCTGCGCTCACTGGTGAGAAATCTTACACGCGCCCGTTTATTATTATTAGGGACCTTAAGCAGTCAGGACGGAAACGCCAAGGAAGAATTCGATTAAAAAATGAATTTCTACCTTTAATTAGAATTTCAAAAATGGCTGTATGAGTTTGCTGTCTCATAAGGCGCCACACCTCACCTTCAGCATAACGTATAAGAGAAGCGTTGAGTTCAAAATGAAAATTAAAATAAATTTGGAGTCGCGGTTTCAGCTCGCAGACGGCACAAATTTTGGTGATTTCACGTTATTGTTTTGCAAAGGTGGCTAAGAAATGTACAAAGTTTGAAAACGTACGTCCTGAGCTATGGCTCTGCCAATTAAATTTGTTGTTTTTCCACGTCCTCGTTGCCGTCGCCGTCGCCGTCGCCGTTGTGGTCCCCATTCTCTAGTTATCTCACAACTAACAGCACATTGTTCGTGTAATTATGATTTTTTTTTCTTCAAGGGGAACATTTTGAGGAGTGAAATTGACGGATGCATTCTGATGAAAAACTTTGTGGCCGGCTCTCCCGAAGTTAGGATTATGCTAAATGATGATTTCTTTGTTGGAAAGTCTGATGTGGTTTCAAGAGGTAATGGTTAAAAAATGGTTGCATTTAGGAACCAGAAAGAGTGTGGGATTTCTCAACGGCAGCAACGACAACAAATAGCTGAATTCGTATAGCCATGCGTTGTTTTTTCTCCGCCAATATTTCAGTCCTTTTTAGTACATTCATGGCAGGATCTGCTAGGTCAATCATTGAAATATTGAAGGTCAAGTTTTGCAAATCGGTTCCTGAGTCATAACATCCCTTGGTAGCAAACTTACGAACTATTTGCAAAGTGTCTTGAAAATCGACTTCCAGTATGAGTTTATGGGTTATTCAGACTTCTGGTATGACGAAACGACTTAACCGCTAATCGACTTCCGGTAGAACGACACGCAAACTGCCTTTGACGATTCGCAACGGTTAGGGTGTAGGGGACAACCCTCTAATGTGTATGCCTTTTTTGCAAAATGTCTGTTTTCGACACTCATTTTTTTTCTGTTTGTCTCTCCAGCGGACAGTGTAGCAGTGAGGCTGGACAACTGTACGTTCCATGAGTCTGTTGACTTGACCAACTTTGAAACAACACGAACACTTCTAGTTAATCCACCAGAAGGAGAGGTCTGGAACTGTTTTTATTTGGTTTACCTTTGCTGTTGTTGTTTCTAATTGTTATTGTCAAATTTACAGTTATCTTCACCATGAGCGTTAGCGTTACCGTATCGTTACTGTTATCGTTATCATTTCCGTTACGGTTACCGTTATCCGTCCCATACCGTCGCTTTTATCGTTACCGTCAGCATTTGCCTTAGCGTTATTGCCATCAATACAGTCGTTTTTTTTATCGTCGATATTCTGGACAGAGCTTCTGTAGAAGCCGGTTACTGAAATGCCGCTTGTAAGTATGCGTTATAATATAGCTGGCAGCGCCCGTAGGCAATATGAATCGAATCCTGTGTTGTGATTGGCTACCCGAGTGGGCAAGATGGGCCGATCTTGCCTGCTGGGGATTACCCGCGCGCGCAACTAATGTCGGCAATAAGACGGTCAAAACGAAGAAAACATTAACGATCCTCGAGGGTTTATCGTGCTACAAACACGGTTAGCTTTCTTTCCCGGCTCTCGAAATGAAACAAGTCATTCCTTATTCTTATTGAAGCGAAATCTTTTTGCGAAGCCTGTTCAGTCGAGATGGCGGGATCTTACCCTCGCTTTTTTTTCTTGTTTTTTTTTTTTTGGTTGTTGTTTTCGCGTTTTTGTGGACTTCTACTTCGTCTCGGTTCATTAAAAACGCAGAAAAAGAACTCAGCCATTATCCAGCCATTTGGCCTCACGCATGGTCAGTAACCCATATTTACCGCTGCCTGTTTAGTTTACGTGCGGGCTCTCGTAGCTTGCAGTCCTTTTTCGGGTTTGGCCGCCAATTTCACAATCGACAGCCGCTTATGGAGAAAGTTATCGAAACCCTTGGGAGCAGTAGCAATGCTCGGGGTGGATTCAAGCTGCCGAAACCAAACTTAGCTCCCTCAGCATACCGAGTCAGTCAAAGACGCGTCAGATGGTGTTTTAAAATCTCTGTTGTTCTTGTTACCAGTACTAACTTGTTGTTTCCTCTTTCTGCAGTTTGTTGTCATGAAATACCGTCTTTCAGAGGCCAACCAGTCAAATCTTCCGTTTACCTTGATTGCGTTTGTCGATGAAAATGAAGATTCAAAGTATGTTTTATGTGTTTTGTTGTTTCCCTCTACCTGACCCGTCAAACCCTGTGCTCGGAATGATTCTTCGTAAATCTTCGAGGGTCTTCGAGCACGATCGTTCCCTACACGTAACAACATAAACGTAAGCTGTCGTGGAATCGAAACATTTTCATTTCTTGGACAGCTGGCCGACTGGTTTACAGTAGATAGATACCAGATTGACACTTAAAATCCACATCGGTTGCTAACATTTCTCGTTTGTTTCTGATCAGAATTCTTGAAGTCATACTCAAGTTGAGATGCAATGTGCCGTCATCAAGGTAAATTGACTGTTAATGAAATATTTTCTCAAACATGCCTTTCCATATTTTACAACCAGATTTACAACCAGATAAACCAGATAAACCAGATAAACCAGATAAACCAGCAACCCCACCGACCGGATATTTCTTTTCGTAATCACAACATAGTTTTGTCTAAGATGCGTGCTCATATTACTGGGTATTTCAGCTTTCCTGGGAGAAAAAGATTCTTTTTTTGCGACAGTTCACTTCGGTTAATTGTAGGCATTAACTGAAGACACCCTCACTTCAGTATTAATATTCTCCTTTTTGTCTTCTGTACATTTGCTATGGTATTGGCAAGGAGAATTTGTTTAAAAATCAAGTGTTTCTGTAATAGTCTCTTTACAGTTGTGGGCTTGGTGGCCAAACCTTTGAACAGGAGTGAGGCTAAGGGTTACCCTGTTGTGATAGAGACCTGTATCTAGTTAGCATGATAACAAAGTAATTTGCATTTGAAAAGCAGCAACATCTCTATCATAACAAGGTCACCCTAAGCCTCACTCCTGTTCAAAGGCTTGGCCACCAAGCCCACAACTGTAAAAAGGACTATTGGTATTTGACGCTCTATTGGCAGTGATATTGTAGGGAAAATTAGGTGTTGGTCACTTTTAGATGGGTTTGAACACGGGTATCTTGAGGGTAAATTATAGGGCAGCTTTAGTTCTACATGTTACAATTCATTACGCTAAATATTAACGTCAAAGTTCTGAAACAATTAAAGGGGGAGAGGGGCAGTATAGCGCAGGGCCAATCAGATTGCAGTATTTCAGAACGACGAAATTGCTGCGATGACTGGGTGCCTCAACGGATAAGAGAGTTGGACTCATAACCCGAAGTTCGAAGGTTCGAATCGAACCTCGGTTATTTTTGTATCACGTGATTTTTTAAAAACTACTCACTAAATCTCCTCTCGGCATTCAAGGTGGCAGAAAGAATAGAATGTGGAAATCGGGCAATCTGATTGGTCGATTTCCGAAATACTGCTATCTAGTTGGTTCGGTTCTAACCTGCCCTGCTTTACTACTTCTGAAAATGACATTCAACCAAATAATTAAAGTTGTGACCTTCAAACTAATATCCCTTAGTTATTAAGGAAAGAGGAGGATGCCAGATGGAACAATTTTTCCTTCACTGAACACCTGTTTGCTCACATTCCGTGAGAACTAGTAGTTAAATATTATAGTAATTTTTTTGGGAACCAAACGGTAGACAATTTATAATGCCTTAATCCTCCCTAGAAAAATGTGGTTTCTGTTACTTTACCCTTTTGTTTATTTTCAGTTACGCCAACAACATTGTTGTGAAGGTACCAGTGCCAAAGTTAACCGACAGGTATAGTAATGCGGCAATGAACTGATATCGTTTGTGCAATTTCATCCTTGGGCAAAAGTTCTTCCTCCGAAAACTTCTCACCTGAACTCGACGCTTGCCAAGCGCGATTTAACGGGGGTTAACGTCAAAGTAGGGTTAAAAGTTAACCTTGGCTCTAATTGCAGCATGTACAGGAGCTAAGGTTTTGTTGGGTCTTACCTCAATATGACCCGAAACTAACAGGAAAAAATACAAACGAAAAATCCCTTAATGGAGCTATCAAACTAGATTTTACATTTATTTTAGCCCTGGGTTAGTAATCCTGTTTAGAACAATCGGCATCGTCCTCAAAAAACGAATAAAATCAATACTCAAAGTTAGATATGCATTGAGACCAGACCAAAATTCTCCTTAAAGAACAAAAGAAGAAGAAGAAGAAGAAGAAGAAGAAAAAAAAATAAAACTGTCGTGTATTTTGTGATGTAATATTCTCCATTATTCATGATCTTCCCCTTTTTTCCAATAGCGTTTCACATCAAATAACTTCCGGGATACAAACAGGAGATTTCAAGTCATCCGAAAAAGCCTGGTACTGGAATATTAAGAAACTACAAGGAGGGTCAGAAATATCAGCGTCAATTAAGGTTACAACTCAAATACTTAACCATTTTCCTTTGAAACTAGGCAGCAGTCTTTTGGGAACTTTTCTGATTAGTTAGATTTTTAATGGATCAGTGTATGATCGGAGCGTTGTGCGAAGAAAGTTGTGACGTGCGACAAACGTTGGAAAACATGCAGCATTTCAAAAGCGCGTGGCGTTTTAAAAGCGCGGGAAAAAGTGTGGTGTTTGGAAAGTGCGGGAAAAAGTGTGGTGTTTGAAATGCGCGAGAAGACAGAGTAGTTAGAAAACGCAGGGAAACAAACAGCCTTTGGAAAGAGCAGGATAAAGTGTAGTGTTGTTAAAGCGCTTGAAAAAGCGTAGCGTTTGGAAAGCATAGGAAAACATGCAGCTTTTGGAAAGCACGGGAAATTTTATAGCGTTTGCCATGGGCGGTAAAATGTGTAGCCTTTGGAAAACGCGGGATTAAGTGGAGCGTTTGGAAAGCGCAGGAAAAAAGCGAAAGCAAGTAACTGTTTACGAGCGGTATGTTATTTATTGCAGCTAAAATTTTTGTTGTAGTCGATTGATATTCGAAGTGTCTGAATTTAGTGTTTTCTGTTTCGTAGGTCCATATGAGTGAAATACGAAAATCTTCACGTAAAGAAGTCGGCCCCGTCAGGTGTGCAGTGTAGAAGTTTGAGTTATCTCAGTGACAGTTTAGGACATGGGATTGCACGACATATCATTCACTTATTTGAATTCCCTTGATACACTTCTCTATGTCTTTCAGTTTGGACTTCGAAATACCAATGCATATATGCTCCGGACTCCAAATCCGATACGTGCGCGTACAGGATCGAGAGAAAGCTTGCAGCCTCTTTCGCTGGGTTCGTTACATTACTCACAGGTGAGATGTTTATTTTACGAGATTCTTTGCTATAGTTTCGATGGTTTTGATTTGACTTTTCGATGGCTTGACATTGAAAATCGCCAATATTCATTCGCCTTATCTCTCTAAATCTCTTCATGCCCCATCTAAATCCTATAATGAGATAACCACTGTATCAAAGTTGTTTTTTTTTCCCATGACACGAGCTTGACATCACTCTTTCTCCCCGCTCAGCTCCTCTTTTCTTTTGATTTAACTTAGAGGCCCGATTAGCAGCCGCTGTTCAGGAAATCAGTCAGCCTGCGCTCTTTTCCTTCGGGGGATCGAAAATGGATCCGCGAAAATGGCAGTTCTAACCATTTAGCTTCATGAAAAATCGAAATCATGCTTTATGTCCTAACCGTGGTTTTTCATTTTTCTTTCAAGCGATTCGTACGTGTTTCGTATATAACAGGAGGCTGTGGAGAATGTACAGGAAAAATACTGAAGAACATAACGGACAGATCGAATTCTGTCTCTCAGAATAGCTGATTAAGTGCTACGTGTTCGCCTCTTCGTAAACGTGAAGCGAGCATTGCATTCTGGTGAATATTATGACGTCCTACTCCAATGAAGGTGGACAGCTTGGGCAACTGGACATTATTCAAAAAGTCAATCTACAGATCGCATAAATTGCAACTCAAGGTTGTATTGTTCACTGATCTCTCATAACTTAGCGTTTTGTTTGTTTGTTTGTTTGTTTCGAAGTCACTGATTTAGTTTGGAATAATAAAGGAGAAGAATTCATGGGAATTGATCCTCATTTGGCTTTGTTCTTGTTGTTTGATTAGATTTGTGTGGCCTAATTTTTTATTTTTTATTTGGCATGCGGCGCTTAGGGTCAAACCGCGATGATTCAGGGGCGGATCCAGGTATTTAACAATTAATTATCGACCAACCTACGCACCCCCCTCCCCCACACACACCCCTTTGCTTGCGATTTCGCAATAAAACTAGCAAATTGAGAAGCTGAATGCGATCCTGTCATAGCAATAATTGTGACTTCCGACAAGTAGTGGAAAACCGTAAGATGGGAGAGAGAGGAGACAATATGAAGCAGGAAACATTCGAATTTATTCAGTTTTGTAAGTAACTTCTACAAAACCCATATTTGGATCCACTACATTAAAACGTGCACCTCTGCGAATCTTTATAATGCATCAACTTCCCTATTTGTCTAATTACAATCCTGTTTTTTTCTTTAGTACTGTCCATGCTTTTCATCTCACCGTGTAGCACTGTTGGCAAGAGCAATTCTTAACGTGGCGAATTTTCTCTTGTTTCCCATGAGGACAGTGTACCAACTCTTCTGTGTACCCCGTACTCTTGCAACATTCACACCTCGGTCTGTACCAGGGGAGACGCATGATAATTCTACTCATGGACCGGCATGGTCCTCGACATGTTTGAATTGTGACGTCTTTCTTTCCATCACAGATTTGAATCGTTTGTGGCTCACGGTCACACGTGACTCCCCATTTGTCCCAAATATCGGCCCAGGTTAGCTGAATGAGCAACATTGTGGCAAATACGACACAAATCCTGAAAATAGTAACAATAAAATGATACTATAGAGACTGTTTTTTATCTATCGCCTGATGGGGTAGGACTGGGGGGAGTTTGGAGGATTATAGTTGTGTCAAAAAAAATTTACCTGATCCCCCTCTAAGGCTTTCTGATATTATCATGCTACCCCCACGCTTCCTTGGATTCTGTTAGTGACGATTGATCTCTCCCCCCTGAAAAACATGTGATCCTCCAAATCCACCCTCCCCCCACTCCGCCGTCCCCAACTGGTCCCTTAACAGCGATCGAGCATCTTCGACAAAAATTCATACCGTATTCCTTCTAGGGAGATGACTAAGAATGGAGAAGATTTGCAGGATTGTTAACGAAAAATTTGAAAAAGTTAAACACGGTAAATAAACCTTGGGGAAGCTCTATTAACAAAGACGCACCGCAATAAATTTCTCACACTTCACGTGGACTTATATTCAATTGATAGTTTGACGGTGTTATATTTAGTTTTACTAGAAGTAGCGGCTTTTATATTTTCCTCTCTGTTTTTTCTTTTTTTTCGTTGAAACATTTCAGCCGGCTGGGATCTTAAATCCTTGAATGTGATCGGCTGAACACGCGATCGTAACAAGCTTCTTACACTATGAACCATGTCACGATCCGGAACTTTTTGCCACACCATTGGACCTCGCAAACAATTTTTTTTTCCCTATGGACTTTCCACACGGTAAATAAAAAATGAGTATTCAGCATGATGATGAGATGTAAATTTGCGTAAAGACGGCTTCCTGGTTATTTAAAAGGAACACGTCTTTTAAAATTTTATCCTTCCCTTTCAAAACCTTTATTTCTTGTTTAAAACGTCATGTCTCAAGCCGGGAGAAACTGGTAAACTTTACGACTCAGATAGAACAGAACCGAGTGTATGTTTAACAACGATCTCTATGGCGACGTGAAGATTCTTGTGCCTTAGACTGTGAGAGAAAGTAAAGTTAGTGATTCTCGCTCACAAGTTCGTGCTGTCGATCAGTAGCCCTGTGTTTGAGACTGTTTCACAGTGTGCTAACGGAGCTCACAGACTCTATTGAACTGCGCATGCCTGACGGAGAGTACGGGAGTCAGTTAGAGTTGTTTCGCTACCTGTACAGCGACGAAGCCAAGTTAAGCGAATTAAAAGTAATATGATGGGAGTTTTGTATTTAGTGAATAAATACTTAGTGCCTGCACTCGCTGATAAAAGCGCGATTTATTTTCAGTACATCGTGGATCCATCGAATATGATGTTTTAAATTCTTCCCTTTACTCTGACATATGGTAAAATAGAGGTTGGTAGAGAGATGTTTGGGGACGTGGTTGATAATCAAACGGAGAAAGCCTTGAGATCGAAAGGTTATGAGACAATTGAGAGATCAATACTTGAGGCAGTTGCCAAAGGGATGGCCTGGACATGAAGAAGTTGAATTTGTTCCAAGGGGACGAAGGTATGCGAGAGACAGGGATTATCAGCGAACGGTAAAGTCAAATGAAGAATACTTAGAGAGCTTGTCGTAAAAGGAATATGCTTTCCGCTCATAAGACAGGCCGAATTGGCCAGAATTGTCCAGAATTGTCCATACTAGTGAAATACTTACAGCTGGGAAGGTTGATTTTTCAAATACTGCAATTTCGATCCGCCTCATCTACCCCCTCTTCGCTGGGATTTTTGGATTCCAAACGGATAGGTCTCAACGATCATAGAATTTATCGTTGTCGCAAATTTAGATCACTAGAAGACGGAAGGAACAGAAGAAACGGGGGAAACAGCCGCGAGCGGTCGAATTCTTTTTCATGCGGGCAGAGATATTTTAGTCCATGTAGTCGGCCTGTTTGGAAGCCAGAACAGCAGCGACTCCATCGCTTTAGAGGTAAAAGAAAGCGGCCAAACTCTCCCTGAAAATTTCATGCATAGAACAGTTCTGTGCACGTATGTGGAATACAAATGTGATTCCTATTTCGGATTTGATCTTTTGCTCCACGTTCCAATTTATGTTAAGAAAAATAATACAGACTATATGTATGAAATCAAGGCATCCATTTATGATCCGCAATGCTGGGTGGGGAGAAATGGAAATAACTCTATCCAATATATATTTCCTATAGCGAGATTTACCACAAGCACTGAGGAGGAGCAATTTCCCGAAATATTATCTTCCTGTGTTATTTGATTAGGTAATTATTCTTACAGCGCGGTGGCACACACTTAACTTAAGCCCTATTTTAGTCTCAGGTACCCAAGAAAAACCTTCCCACGAGACAATTTTTTGAAACATTTGCATGGAGTTGGGAGTTGCAACAGCTTTCCCCTAACCAGTCTCTCTCGCGACAAACAGGCAGGTGACATATTGGACAAAAATGGCGGACTGGGCAGGGGAGACGAAGTGTTTATAGAAGAAAAAGTTGTCCCGCCTGAGAGGAGGTTACCCTACCTACCGGAGTGAGACAATTCACCCTTCCGAGTTGTCTCGTCTCCCGGAGACGAAGTTCGCCATTTTCATGTAAAAGGTTGGTTGCACTTTTGAAAAAGAAAGTGCAAAGTTAGCCCGGCCGGGGTCGGGTTAGTCAGCTCGGGGGGTGTGGAGAGATGTCTCGGGTACCCGAGACCATATAAATGGGCTCCTACTCTTCCTCGTTTTTGCTTTTTATCGTTATGAATATAAAAAGAGATAGTAAGATTCTAATTAGATATGTGACATATGACCTTGATGTGGATGGCCCATGCGGTAATTGTTAACGAAATATGCCGGACCGCCGGACTCTCTTGCCTTCTTCTGCTGACACGTACTTTTATTGGTGACAAATAAATCAACTGTCCTTATTTTACATCCAGTTTTTAGGATATTTAGGGCGATCCGGTCTATTTTGTCTGCTGTCAATATATGCCCATCACAAATCTCAGTTGTCAGTCAGATTTTCAGCGGTTTGTCAGTTGTCAGTTAAAATTTTGGCCCTTTGTCAGGCTGTAAGTAAACCCCATCCAGACCCTCAGAAAGAAGAATTATTAATGAAATATTTCGAGTGAAAGGGTTAAAAAGGTAGTCTCATCGCTCATTCAATACATTTTTTAAATTTGACACTTAAAATCAGTTTTTCTTATCAAATCGTTTGATTTTTGTCATTGAAATCTAGATTGTTATGTCAGTTTCGAATTTCGATGTAAAGGTTCGAAGCCATCGGCGGAGTTGTGTTGGCAAGCGAGAATCTTATACCGTCTCATGGAAGCCTCACGGATAAAGTGCTGAAGGTAAACTTGCGATTCACTGGCATCGCATACAAGGGAGAAGTAAAAACCTAGGAAACCCACATCAGTCCTGGCTAGCTTAAATGGCGTGAAACCACCACGTGGACTTTTATTTGCGAAGAAGGCCCAAAATATGTTCATACAGTAAATAAACATCGGTTTGCAAGTGCATTGTAATCATTCTTACCTTCGAGAGCTTACTCCCATTGCCAATATTTTTGTGAGGACTATACTTTTTCAACCGCACTTCCGAATCACCAAATAAAGTAACTATAATCTGACGACACTACATCAGAATGAAAGAAGCTAGCCTGCCCGCGATCGACGAAAACGATGAACCTTGTTAATTCCTACCATTCACGATTAAACAAAGCTTCCATCTATGGACAAATTTTACCTGCAGCTAGATATTTGCGATTTAAATATTTAATAAAGGCGTGATGTGAGGGGAAAAAATGTTCGATTCTCACAAACTTTGGAAAAGAAAATGTTTCACTGCTCCGCCACTATCGATCTTTAATGGAAGGTTGATACAGTACTAATACGATACTCGATATATACATGTATGCGTTTACCATTTAACTGAACCCATCGAAGTCTCTTCTTAGGCGAAGCGAAAATTTTTTAGCAGATGGCATATTCATTTAACCGTCAGAGACAGTGAATTCAGAAAATCTAACCACACGCGTTTAATCCTGGACAATCGCATCACCGGAGCAATATGCCAAAAAATACCAGTTTTAACGGTTGCCAAACTTTGCCTGTTCAAACCCTGACTAACGCAGTTTACTGACGCACTTCACGTCTCGCTGTGTAAAGGATAACTGAGACTTGTTTTAAGGGGGAAACGCCGGCTGTACTTATTTAGGTGAGTTCATTTTGAGGTTTGGCTTTCTGTACACTTTCAAACGGAGGGGGGAGGGGGGAGGGGAGGGTGAAAGTGATAAAAAAAGAACCATTTCATTCTGTTCAGCTTAGGAAGCCATGTCCAAATTTTGGGTCATTTTAAGACGCAGAATATTTATTACACTTTTGTGGGAAAGAAACCATAAACTGGTAGTAGGACGCTGAAATACTGTTGTCGTTAGAAAACGAAAAGGTAAAATGATAGTTAACTGCTATGGAAGACTGAAACTGAAAATTGTACGCTTAATTTCGTAGTTTAAAACAGAAAAAAGGTGGTCAAGAGCCTGCCTTAACATTTCACCGTTTTACAGGAACAGGAATGAAATTCGCAGCAGTTCTTGTTCAAGGCACCCTTACTTTCCTCCTCCTCGTGAGTTACTATGGTGACGAGGTGACGGCCCGAAAGCACCGCGAACATTGTGAGCCAATTTCCTCTAACGTGGATATAAAGGTTGTTGACTGTATTAAGAGGACAGTATCTTTGAAGCAATGTATGGGAACATGTCTGTCTTATGAATCGTCCAATTCGAAAGACTGTCACTGCTGTATACCCGTTAAAAGAAGCCCGATAAAAGTAGAGGTCTATTGTAAGCACAGCTCGGGTGGTTTTTATATATATCGTCATCTAGTGGAGCAGCATGACATGTGTACGTGCTCAAGATGCTGGAGCATCTAAAAAGTTGGGATAAATCCGATTCTCAGGAATGAAACCAAGATTTAATAGATTAACACTTTCATTCTCACCATCTTATTAGAAATTCTCCTCACTGTTTATCATATATTTCTTGTGATTTTAGTTGGGAGAATTAAGTAGAAATGAATAAAAGTGAGAAAAAAGCAAAGATGTAAGCAGACTAATCTAAAATAGAAGGTCTCCGAGTTTAATAAATTCTTCCCAGGAATGAAGTTCGGGCCTACACTTTCTGTAGTCGGATATTGTAAAGAGAAATTCTGTTTAGGTCACTTGTGCATGGGAGCTATCAAAAGGGTTATTAAGTAGACATAGACCTTGAATTAATTAACGTAGCCCAAAGCCTTAGCAAAAGTCTTATAATCTTATAAACTTCATGTGAAGTTTTGAAAAAATATATACATATGAACACGGGATTTAATAGATATGCTGAGCACAGAAAAACGTTAGTTAGGGATTAGTCATTCAGTTTCTGACCAGTAAGGGGGGGTGGGGAGGATATTTTAGGGGATCATATGGTTTTCAGGGGGGACGGAAGGGGATTAGTCGTAGATAACAAAGTACAGAGGCGGACTTTAGAGAATTGTCTGCCAAGGAGGAT